CGGACAAGTACGCCGAAATATAAAATAAAACGAAGGACATGAAAACACACGGAAAACGACAAAATGGACTGGATGACACTAAAACGAACCTAAAATTGACTCGATAACCCACATAAGCCATAAAAATAAGCACAAAAACGTGACAAACAACGCTCAACTCGAGCTCGTCAGGAGCTCGGCTCCTTCTAAAAGAATTCATGTTCATTCTTTCTGATGGATTTCTAGTTGGCTTTTCGAGCGTCTTTTCCTACATAATAAAGTATAAAGAGAGATAAAATGTACATACACCAAAACGAGACAAAAATACGTAAATGAGTAAAAAGGACCCGAAAAAACTAAAATAAACTAAAACGTACACAGATAAAACACTTAAAATACATAAAATTACAACAATAATATACAAAACAAACACCATTAACACTACAAAAAATACACACACAACACAAAAATACTAGATAATAGAATAACACCCATTCTCATCAGTCAGCAACAAACCGCATTAACCTGCAATCCGACTCCCAGAGACAACCGCCCACCCGGATAGGACTCTGGCCCGCGTATCCAACGAAAAACTCCAGTGTAGCCACGACTAGCTAGAACTATACTACACTTGATAATTAATAATTTATTTCCATAAGAACGATAGCTCCTTCCCCCAATTAAATATAAAAAATAAAATATACTCAAAAATAGGGACAACATATGAGTTATGATCCTACTCAACCGATTATAACTGGTAGTGTCATTTCATATCTAATCACATAATCCAAAATTTAACTCTACAGAAACTCTTCTAATTAATTTTTACAAATATAATTAAATAATATTAATCAATCATTCAATTCTCATACATCACATCAATTTTAATTCACTATTTATTCAGTCACATAATTTTAACTATCTGATGTAGCACCAAAATTAACTCGGTGAATCGGCTGAGCGGTTGGCTCTGATAGTGTCGGTCCAAGGAAGCTTAAAGCCCAATTATGTGATGCATGGTATGGGTTAAAATGTCCATGGAGATCTAGTAAATATTACTAAAAAGATATTTAGGTATGTTTGTATATATATGAACACAGTGATTTGGGAGAATGAGACTCATTAGTTATTGAGGAAACCCTTTT